CACAGTAACTGGTACCTTTGTTCACAGCCTCAAAAGATTAAACAGGCAAAGAGATTGAGCTATCCTCTTGCTCTGGCTGGTCCTCCAGATCAGCAGGTCAGTTTGAGGAAGCTTACACTGTCACTTCTTGTTCTGCAAATGTTCTATGTACAGGGACCATCATTCTCCAGAGCTGTCAACCAGCACTTTCCAAAACACTGAACTCACATGAAATGTGTTTTCTCTCTTAAATCTATTACCTTGGACTTCTGAGTCTTGCTTTTCTCCTCCAAACAATTATATTTACAGAATATAGAAGAAGACAAATGGAATTTTACTTTTAATTTCTATTTTAAACAAGGACCTTACCCTTTAGCATTAAGTAACTAAAAAATGTTATCAAGTTTACTACAGTATATTCTTCAGCAGTTTTCAGAAACAATATAAAAAGTTTGCTTACTGAACTGTTAATTTAGGCAGATACTTTACTGTATCCTTACCCCCACCTGCATTTACATTCATTCTGATTACAAACTGCAACTTTGTTGGGAAAAGAAGGGATACTTTAACTAAGAATTATCAACTGGCTCAGGTCAGAAAAGAAAAGAATGTCCTCATTTTAACATAACATATATGTTCATTTTTAGTTTTGGCCTCCTTTGATATTCCCTGATATTTGAGATTATCACAATTAATGTACCACATTGGTCTGTGTTCCAGCTCTAGAAGAGATCCTAGAATACCTTTCCATATACTGTAGGGCTGGTTATTCTTTCAAAACTGAAATTAGACAGTAGCATAGGCACCTATTCCTTGGGTGCTCCGGGGCTGGAACACCCATGGGGAAAAAATGGTGGTTGCTGAGCATGCACCAGCAGCCAGCTCTCCTCCTCCAACTCCCAGCACCTTCTGCCCACCAACAGCTCCACTGATCAGTGCCTCCCCCTCCCTCCCAGTGTTTCCCGCCCGCCGCACACCAGCTGTTCCGTGGCATGCAGGACACACTGTGGGGAGGGGAAGGAATGAGAGTGAGATGCACTCATGGGAGGGGGCAGAATGGGGTACAGGAGGGGCTGGAGTGGAGTGGGATCAGGGCAGTGGCAGGGAGGAATGGGGGCAGGGCCTGGGGCACAGCTTGGGGGGGGGGGGGTCAAGCACCCCCTGGCACATTAGAAAGTCAGCGCCTCTGCTCAATACAAAAGTTACTATAGAAATTTCTACTCTTTCTACTTTTTCAAAGTCACATGAAATGATTTTACTGTCAAAAACATATTTGTCTTGCTGTGATCAGTGCAGAGCCAGGCAATATAGATACAGGTGGTCCAGTACTGTTCTATTTTGCCTCACATTTGAAAGAATTGCAAACTATGTTCTGAAATGAAAGATAATTCTACTAGGGCTGTCAAGTGATTAAAAAATTAATCACAATTAATTGCACTTTTGATTGCACTGTTAAACAATATTAAAATACCATTTATTTAAATATTTTGGGGGTTTTCTATATTTTCAAATATAGGATGAGGGCTGGGGGCTCCGGGCTTCAGCCCCCCTCAGGGCATTGGGCTCGGGGCTTCAGTCCGGCATGGGGCTTCAGCCCCGCTCAGGGTGCATTGTGTGGGTTTCAGCACCTCTTGGGGTGTGGGGCTCTGGGCTTCAGCCTGGAATGGGGCTTTAGCCCCTTTGGGCTTTGAGCTTCAGCCCAGCATGGGGCTTAGGGATCTAGCCCCTCTCGGGGTTTGGGGTGTGCGGCTCCAGCCCCCCCGTGCCTCCCCGGGAAGCTGCTGGCTGGGGCTCCTCCAACCCCTGCCCCCCCCCCCACCCGCACACACACATCTCCTACTGCCACCTCTGGAACTGGGCTGCTCCAGCCCCACCCCGCATCTAGGTATGGGCTGAGGCTTTAGCCCCCTATCTATGTCTCCCTGCCCCCTCCCCCCCCAGGTATGCAATTAACACATTAAAGAAAATTACACATTAATTTTACTTTCAGTTAATCACGGGCATGAACTGCAATTGACAGCCCTAATTTCTATTGTATCTTATGATAATGTAAGAAACAGAAAACACATGGATAAGGCCAAAGGTGAGTATCTCTTCCCAGGGAAGAAACCCACTGCAGGGCTGCACTTAAGAAACACTGTGAGAAGGAATAGACATTTTCCTGGGAGGCTCTGGCTGAGGCAGGGAGCTGAGACCCTGCTTTCTTTGTGCCTAAGTTTAAGGTTTCCATAGAATGGAATGCCAATGAGCATACGGGCAGGAGTTCCTCCTTCCTTTTTTCTCAGCAGCATGTGAAGAATTTGGGCTAGACTTGTTTCTGAAAATCAGAGTATCAGGGCATTTTAAGAGGCTCTATTCTTCAAAAGAGGAAGAGATTGTCACAGTTTCAGGATAACTGCACCTGTATTCCTCCTCTATGGTGCATTGCGGGCACACACTTAAGGTTTCTAGCTTGCAACCATTACCTCTCCCCGGTGGAGACCCTTGCCTCTCCCCATCCTGTCCAGAGTTTTAAGGCTGCACAGCTCTCTGGCTACACTGAGACATCCCCAGAAAGCCAGTATGACTAAAGGACAGAGCCCGTGCTTTGCTTTCTCTGTGAACAGTGTACTGCCAGCAGTTATAAGTTACCACACAGCCCTTTTTCAGTAAGCACATTTATTCTTAAGGTAAAAGCACTCCAGAGAAAACATAACAAAAATCATATACAGATATAAAATGCCATACTAAACATACCAGGAGTCACCCATCAGTCTTATGGGGCCCTGGCAGGCCAAAGTCTTTCCAACCCTTCCGCAAGGGTTGCCCCCCTTGGACAGAAGATCCTGCCTGTTTGCTGGATCAGAAAGAAGACCCTGAGTCAGTTTAAATAGTCTTTTTATACCAAAAGCCCTTTCTTTGTCTGTTGGTCTCTGGAAAATCCAGTTTGAACCAGTATATGCAAACCTCTCCCAGGGGTGGCACCTCTCTGGAAGTGGTTATAACCTATAACCTATAATTCACCCTCTCATCCACTGTTCTTACTGCCTGGAGGAGCTGTGGCAATCTCCCCGCCCTGGAACTGCATACAATCCCTGGACCACCATTCATACGCTTAATACAATATGGTCCATAAAGATACTGCATGTGGTTGCAATATCTGTCATGGGCATAAAGACTTCTGAGAGCGAAAGCATCTGGAGAAGCTAGGTAAGCCTGCCTATGGTTGTATCAAATGTAGTGAGGGGGCTGGGTTGGTCTCACTTATTTTGGCTTGGTTTCCTCTTCCGAATGCCACACTATATCTTGGCTCTTGCTATATTATTAGTTTGGAGTTTGTATATGCGACAGGGGGAGAGGGAAAGTGGCTCAGGAGGTCTCAGACACTAATTTCAGGATAAAGGGGAGCTGAGTGGTGGTACTCCACATCCCAAAGAAGTATGTCTAACAAGAGGTATGAGTCTGCCCTATACTCCTAGCACTAGAAAGAGTGACTAGACTCTACCCAAGCCCAGTGGCCTTGGAAGCACATGGGTCCACTTGCAAAAGATTGGTGACTGTACAGTATGGTACCAGCCAGTTTGTGACACGCATTATTTATTCAACAAAGAACTCTCAACACTGATTGTTCTTGCAGATACCAGGTTGACCTTGCAATGCTGACATAAAAAAATAAAAACTGAATTCAATTAATATGGTACCAAGATCATGGAGAGGAAATAAATATGTAACAAATGTCATTTTTACAAAGTCACTTATAGCACATGCACAATAGTGCTAAAAAGTACACTTCGATGTTTAGGTTTATGGGAGTTAAAGTTACTGTAATTCTAATGCAGATTCATCAGGATAAGACTTGTTTGTTTCACAGTTGCAGGTATCTCAAACATTCTTGAATGTCTGCAGTTGCAGTTGTGTTGGTCCCATGATATTAGAGAGACAATATGGGTGAAAAGTTCAATTGGTCCAATAAAAGATATTACCTCACCCACCTTGTGTCTCTGACTTGATTATCAAGTTGTTCCATTCTTCTTTCCATAGCCTTGGTTTGGATGAGTACATTAGTTTATCTGCATTTACTATATAGTGTATTTTCCCCATCTCTTAGGTCTTCATCTTCCATGTCTAACTGCTTCTCCATTCCATAACACATTGGTAAGTTTATTAACTTTAGCTGCCAGGATTTCAAATGTACCCTTTAGCAAGGCCATCACGTTCTATAACCTTTATTCACTGGTATTAGTTGCCCTAATAAATCTCTTGTTGATTTCTCTTCACCTAGCACAGGAACAGATTGCCTAAGTTTCATGGTTTGCAAAAGTGGTGTCAATGTCAGAGCTTGATTTAGCTCCTGCTGTGCCCTGAAGATGGCATTTCTCATTTAGTAAAAGCCTATTATTGACCATTTAGCTTTTCTTGAGTGATTCTTTCCATTAGAAACTTATGAACAGCATCAAATTCACCATATGCATCAGCACGCAGCATTTTTAATGGATATGAATATATATGCACCTATCTACATATTACAGATATGCCCCCATTTAAAATTGGCACTAATTATTCAAGAGCTACAGTATTTTAGATCTAAACGGGTGATTTCTTTACGTTTTCAAACCTGATTACAATACAAACCAATGTACACTATCAGTCAAATTCTGCATTCAAGTAAGTATGAGGAGAATGTGGCCCTCAAGTTTTACAGGACTGTGAAATCCTGGCCTTGCTGAAGTCAACAGCAAAACGTCCATAAACTTCATGGGGCCACAATATCAGGTTAAAGTGTATTAAGCACATTATGGTCAAAATTATAATGGTTTGTTTCCCTCACATAAAATATATCACACTTTCTTGTAGAAGAATTGTAGTAAACTTATCTTGTTACACAAAATAAACAAGTTCTTACAAACTTGATATGCTTATGTCAGGATTATGATTATTATTAAAGGAAATTAACAGGTGTAGGCACACAGTTGTATTCCTTCTGCTTCATACAAAGTTAGTCCTAAAAGCATACACGTATAAAAATTCTACTATATACTTACTCTTGTGTTGTTTCTTTCAGCCTTCAGTTCTGAAATCTCTTCTTCTTTTTCAAGCAGTTGCTCCCTACACACATTTAACTCTTTTGTCAGTGCAGCAAATTCCTATAAAAAGGAAATAAATACAAAGATTATTTTAAATGTACATTTTGTAGTGTATTCCCAAAATTAATCTGCATTGTAACATTTAGGATTTAATATTTAAGTAACTTTATACTGCAGCCTTTCTGGACTTTTAAAAATTAAAATAGCATAGATAAGTATTATCGTCTATAATAATATGTATTTGGGGTTACTGGTACATAATTCATAACTATGTGTAACTAAAGGATTCTAGAAAGTCATAGGGTCAAAGTCAGCTTCAGAGCTTGGCCAGTTGAAATAGCTGAGGATCTGGCCTACAGTTTAGCAAATTATTTCTGAACACATCAAATTATTTTGATTAGAGATTGGGAAGCAAATTAATTGCAATACCATAATCAATAACAATAAGCTGCTTCTATAGCACTGTCCATCCAATGATCTCAAAAATCTCTACCATATTAGCATTTTAAGGTACCAGTTCAAGAAAGCATCCTATTCAGGACAGTATTTAAGCATTTATTTAACTTTAAGTACCAGCTAAAGTCCCATTGAATTAATAGGACTTTAGCAGGTGCTTTAAGTTAAGCAGGTGATTAAAAACTGACATAAAAAGAAATGAACTTAAGTGTACACTAAAGTGCTTTCCAGAATCAGAGCCTAAGGTGCATAACTTTCCTGTGAGGTTGGTAATATTCTACTTTTGATTTGTTTAGGTTTTAACTGATTTAAAAAAAAACAATAAAAATACCACAGAGACACTTTTTCTACAAAAACCCTGGCCACAGCTGATGAAAAGCACCCATTCAGAATACTGAGACATGGTTAAAATTACAATTGCCAATCAGTGAAGCTGACAGTATCTTTTTTACCTTCAAACCTGAAATTACCAACTAAAACAGGGGTGCTGGAAGAATTTTTATAGTGGGGTGCTGAGAGGCATTGAACCAAACTGTAAACCCTGTATATAATGGAAACCACTTCAAGTCAGGGAGTGCTGCAGTTCCAGCAACTATGAACTAAAACAAAAAAAGTGATAAGAGTCCTAGAGTTTATGGCTCTGAGGGACCCCTCGATCACCTAGTCTGACCTCCTGTATACCAAAGGCCACCATCACCACCCAAGCACCCCCACACTAAACTGAAGTCCTCTACCCTCATATACAAGCTTATAACACCCCCAACACCAGAAGTGAAAGTAAGCTGGTACGGTCCGGTACAGCGTACCGGCAAGAGCCAGTAGGCCATGTCAGACCGGACCGGCTTCCCCGGGCTGGTGCTTTAAAGGGCCCCGGGCTCCCCGCAGCGGGTGGAGCCCTGGGCCCTTTAAAGCACCACCCGAGCCCTGCTGCCAGAGCCCCTGGGGTAGCGGCGGCAAGGCTCCAGCAATGCTTTAAAGGGCCCGGGGCTCCCGTCACTGCGGGGAGCCCTGGGCCCTGTAAAGGGCTGCCTGAGTCCCACTGCCGGAGCCCCTGGGGTAGCGGCAGCAGGGTCCGGCAGTGATTTAAAGGTCCTGGAGCTCTGCGGTGGTAGCGGTGGCCGGAGCCCGGAGCCCTTTAAATCGCTCCTGAGCTCCCAGCTGTGTCTACAGCTGGTAGCTCCAGGGGTGATTTAAAGGCCCGGGGGCTTCCAGCCGCAGCCCTGGGACCTTTAAATCTTGGCTCAGTACTCCGGAGTACTGGTAAGTCCTTTTAAGTTACTTTCACCCCTGCCCAACACCCTTCCTGTGAAGGTAAACACACTTGGACCAATAAAGGGAATGAATTTCAATGACTAGACCCCTACCAAAAACATCTTGTTGACAGGCCCCCTCTATGAAATATGAAGTATGAAACTCATGAACCTCTGCTTATGGCAACTGTAGCTTACAGCATGGGAGAAAGGCATGTATGTATTAGTGTCTTATTGTCACATGTTACACATGTTGTGTAATACTAAAAGCTTTAATATTTCTATTTGACATTTTCGGTTCAAATTAAATCATCAGCATGTCAGCAGAGTATTATTTTGGGGCCAGTCTTGCAGTCTTTAGTCATAAAGGACTCCCACTGAAATCAAGACTGAAGGTAAAACTGGATTTAGACTATATCATATGTGAAGCTGTGACGGGGTGTGCATACCCCACACTATGGGCGGAGCAAGTCCTACCCCTCAGACCGTGCTGGGCATGCTCCAACTGCTGTGCTACAATAAAGGAGAGCAGCTCAGCTCAATCTGGGCTGGCCACTGAGGAGGAAGCACGCTTGCTGGAGGCCCCAGGCAAGGCGCTGCTACAGCCCCTGACTGCAGGAATGAGAGATCCCAGGGACCAATCCAGATACCTGCTACCTACAGTTCGCTGGCGGGAGTAGTTAGAGTTCCAGCGAGCTACCTGCACCAGGGAACCTAGAGATCCCAATAATATCTGGCCTATAGGTTCAGAAGACACGGTAGGAAGTGGCCCAGGGAGGCAGAGTGAGTTGTATCTCCCACCCATGTAAGCTCAGCGTGTTGCAGTCGGATCCCCACTGATTGGGTGGCCAACGCACTCGCCGCTGACAGGGCTCTGGGCCGGGAACCGGTGGAGTTGGGTGGGCCCGGGTTCCCCTACCCTGGCCACCACTCCCCCTTTGGTGTTTGACCCTGTATCTGTACATCAGGCCCTGAATGTCAAAGGCATCCATATTGACTTTGGCCATTAGGCCATACAGCCCTGAACCCCAAGGGCAGCCATATTGACTCTGACCCACAGGCTGTACTGCTGTCAGTCTAAGAACCATCTGGTAGACTGCAACCGCAGAGGTATCACAACTCTGATTCCCCAATCCTCCCCCAGAGACGGATGGGATGTGGGTACCCCCTGACAGAAGCCTTTCATATAATACCATTTTCTAAAAATTCTCAAAGAGTAACAGTCTAATAGAGGAGTCTCCAGTTGTCATTCTGACAAAAGTCCCATTGAACTCTCTGGGATTGACCATTAGTCTGTTATTCTAAACCAGTGCCAGATATGTACATACTGTACACATTAAATGGTGCATTCATTTTATTGCAATATTGTCATTCCCAGTAACCAAACTGAATATGTAGATGTATAGGATTCTTCTCAAGGCAGTCAATATGCTATGTGCAGTACAAGAAAGATAAAAAGGGTTCTTGGATTTAGTAGGCATATGCCTCAGAGGTAGTATTTTAACGCTTTCTGTGTTTAATTGAATTATCATGTTGTAGTCTCTTTTGTTCTTTACATTAATTACTTCACGCAGTGATAAATGGCCCTAGTTATGCTGCTACTATTGCTGCTGTGTAGTTCTATCAGCATATTATGCAATAGGGAAAGGCTCTTTTTTGAAGCAAAGAGGAACAAAGGAATTAGTGGGATTTACAACAAAAATAAAATAACAAAACACTCCAGTCTCTGTAATTTCTATGGCCTTCCAATATTTCTGTGGTAAATAAACAGCTTTCAGAAACCATATTGTAAGGCATCCCATGAATTCTTCAGCTTTGTAATTCAGACGAGGTGAAATGCAAAGAAGTTAATTTCAAACACTATTCAAACACATTTTTCTATAGACTATGTTTCATGAACATTGTCTTTTTTCTATTCTGATTTCAGAAGTTTAAGCTCTTTTGGTATATTTTATATAGTATTTATAATCTATCAATAGATGGACTATGAGACTTAAGCTCCTAAGTTACTTTTGAAAGTGGAATTTAAGCGCTTAAGTGACTATGTTGCTTTTTAAAATTTGGCCACAGTGCTTAAAAAGTGTTATACTTTTGTCTATGCAGCTTATTGTAGGTTTGATATACTATCGGACAATGACAATCTGACTAGAGCTCTCTTATACACAGGAAAATGATAAAAGACAAAAACATCACATCACCTGTGGGTGAACACTTTTCACAAAGCAATCATTTTATCTGACCTGTCAGTCCTCATCCTCAAAGGAAACCTGCATAACACTTTCAAAAGACGAGCCTGGAAGCTTAAATTCGTAACTTTGGTAGACACTAAAAAGCATGAACTAAAAAGAGACACTGAATTTATGACTTATTACAACAATCTGTAACCCACTAACCCTCCCCAGCTGTTCCCTCCAGTCATATGGAGGCAAGGGAGAGGAGGTGTGTTAATGGGGCACTTCACCTTGAATGGTCCCTTGAAATATTTACCTACTTAACACTAAACAATCTGTTCCACCTTGTATTTAGTAGTGAGTGTGTTTTCCAGACCTGAAGAAGAGCTCTGTGTAAGCTCAAAAGTTTCTCTCTCTCACCAGTTGAAGTTGATCCAATAAAAGATATTATCTCACCCACCTTGTGTCTCTAATATCGTGGGTCCAACAACAACACTGCATATATTTAAGTGATGTCATTTAAACCATATACCAAGGGATAATATTATATTTAACATTAATATAAAGAAATAAGTCAGTTTAAATTAGATACTCGAAACACATATATGCTCTTTCTATACCTGCTTCTGGAAAATAAAAGTTACAGTCCTCCAATCTCAAATCCTACTGATAGCCTTGCTATATATTTTGTGTACTCATATCACAGTGCATGAGAGATTTCTAACTATATTCTAATGTTCTGATAGATTTATCTATTTTAGCTATAAATGTTATGCTTTCAAAAACTCATGAATAGATGTTAAAGGTAATATTTTAGCATATTTCATTTTCCATCCTCCAATTCCTAGATAGTCTTTAATGAACAAATAAGTCAAGTGACTGCCATCTAAAATCCTGTAGTTATTGCTGACTTGGGGGCTGTACTATGGTTCAGAAAACTCAGCTTTATTAATAACCAGATGTAAGCTCTTTTTGTTTGGAACTTAAATGCTTTAGGCTGTTGGCATATGCTTGGATGCTGGGAAGGGTGTCAGCTGATGTCAAGGATTACACGTGTCACCTAATGATTTAGGAGGATTCATAGGGATTAGCTACAGTAAGGCAGAGATACAGTCTGATAAACTTTTTGTTCTTTAGATTTAATGTCTATATGTATCAGTTAGATATGGACTTATCAGGTAAT